TCGGATTGAACTGGAATAAGGTGGTGAATGGAAGCGTGGATTGTGAGTGTCAGCGTAAGTTCTTTGGAGTTGGCGGAAGTGTACTCTTTGACTCCAGGCTGGGTACTCGATTTTAAAACTTGATGATATACATGGTAGGTGGGAAGAACCGAGCGGGGGAGACTAGACTATGATATTTTTGGATACCCCGATTTGAATCAAGTCGCTTGCGAAAGTTCCTGCTTTAAAGGCGTCTTGGTGTCTTTCCCAATTCATGTCTAGCATCAAATGGAGCAATGTGGATAAACACACGAGGCAGCGTTATTTATACACTGCAGAATTGAGGAGTGTACATGGTGCCACTCGTCGAACATGTCCCTACCTATGGTAAAAATGCTAGATGAATAACGTAGCATTAAACGGCGATTAGAGACCAGGTACTCTTTGCATAGCGATGTAACTGCACCTCGGAGTGTTCTAGATGGAGATCACGGAAATATCGGTCACAGTCGGTTTGGGTCTATATCGAATTATCAGCTGGAGGTCGTCAGGGTGTCGAGAATCATGCTTTTTACTCTACCTGTTCCCGCTCGAAGCTAAAACTCTCTGTACCAAAAGAATCCCAAGAGATACTTTACTTAACCCAAACTAAGAGTCACCTGCTCGAGAAGGTTGAAGACGCCACGACCTCTACGCATACATTGTTATGCAGAAGAAAGAAGGAAGCCTCTCTGTCTACCACCACTACAGCAGCTGACCTCGTCTCTTCTCCATCATATCGCAGCATTGACACCTTCGGTACAAGCAGTGCTGATCCTGGCTATACAATGTCGACTAAATCCTACGCCACATTGCTCTTCGCTTTCGTCATCTTCTATGACAACCTTGAAAGACCAACACCAACCCGCAGCTTGAGTTCCCCTCCACAATTGGATACTATGCGCTGGTCCACCAAGCTTCACAATACCTTCGAACGCATTAAATTTGGTGTCAGAGGCACCACTCTCCCCAGCGGCATGCTTCCGTACGAAATATGGCTCTTAATCGTCGATGCCGTGGTTGACGACTTGGAATCGACAGTCGAGCCATTAACATGGGTATTGACCGGTTATGAGTCCGAAAAGGTGACCGATGAGAACCGCTGTCTCATGCTCGATCAAAGCAAACCGCCCTGGTTTTACGGAATCGAGCACTTCTTGATTGACGACGCCAGAAACTGTGAAAAGAGCAAAATCAAGCATCGGCAAGATGCCATGGAAGTCCTGTATAACTTTACACTGGTCGACCGCAGAACTCGAGATATTATCAACAGACGACTACCACGATGCACCTTTCTCCATAGGAATTGGTTCGAGCGCGGTAGGCCACTGGAGAAGCCTTCGACCTCGATACGAATCGTCCCGAGCATCGACCAGTTTCCTTACTTTGTCAGACGTCCTGCTCCGCATTCTCACATGAAGCGTTACAGGGCTCTTTTCAGTCCTTGGGAATACCACGGCTGCGTGGAACCTTTCTCTCATGTTCAGACGATACTGCTTTCGGCGATTCTGCTCAGGCCCGGCTGGGTTTACCATCTCAAACACCACTTCCAGTACTTGCAGAAAATGCCTAATTTGAGGAGTGTAGAGTTCAGAGCAAAACGACCGTACAGGGAAGCGGACGAAACTACTTACTATACAGTAGAGGACAGTCTTCTCACTTTTCTGCCTGGGGATGAGAATTTGGACATGGACGAGATTATTTCGATGTGGAGGTCACTCAAAGACAGAGGGGTCAGGTTCACTGCGAGCCATTCCAAGGCTTTGGTCGAGTTTACCTGAAAAACACCTTTAGACGTTTCCACGAGGTCCCCTTCCCAGAATGCGAGCCGAAGTCGTTGAAAAAGAAAGGCTTTGGATATGACAATGACAGAACTCAGGTAAATATTCATGTGAAGAAGACATAGCCAGAAAGGTGTACAGCCCGTGCTAACAGCCAACGCAGTGTTTGTTTTTCCCTGAGTCTTGACACTCTGGGCGATAATTGGAGCTTCCTATGGGGTGTTCGGCGCTAGATAAGTCAGCTTGGCTAAGAATCCACAGGGACAGGCTGCACAATAGTGAGGCGCAATTCCTCAAGTTGCTAATGATATTCGAAGCTGCCTCAGAAGTATGGCACTCGATAGGTTTGAAGTGTGCTGTATATAGACGGCCTTCCAAGGATCGCAACCGACGGACGGGTTTCGACAAACTGGATCTCGACCAACGACGTATGGCCTAGGTCAGACCCGGACATACGGATTACTCCGTAGGCAGAGAAAAGAAGACATCGGTCCAGTGAAATGATCTGTAGATTAATAAACTCACTGATACGAGATCTGGGCGAAGCGACTCGACTCAGCCGCACTTGATGGGTACCGCCGCCTCGCAAAATCACCGGGGATAGCGGCAGGTACCTGGGTTCCCTTTTCGCTCTCGCGCGGCTGATTCAGCGTTTACGCGTCTCCCCGCCACTTCGCTTACTGAACTCTGATATGAATGCAAGATTGTGATGTCCTGTGAGCCTGTGAGGTGAATGGCGGTGGAGTTATGCCTGACTCGCCGGGTCTATGAAGGCCCGAGGTACGGGACAATCAGGAGCGGAACTATGTATTGGCTTGAAAGCCGTAGAATTCTCATGAACATACGCAAGGACAGAAAGAGCCTAAACTAAGACCTAAATCCATGCAAAGAGGTTCCCATAGGATCAGTCAACAATCCTACTCGCACTACGTTAAAGGTGCTTAGGCAGGCGATGGTACTTTCTGCATTGGCCAATTGGTCGGTCAACCGGGTTCATCGGGGGAAAGCAGTCGAAGCGATGGGGGACTGTGCGGCTTGCAACAGGAAATCGTGACAAAGAAATGGAGAATTGTCGAAGCGAACTTAGCGAAGAAGGCAGAGAGGGGCAAAGTGACACCTTGGCTCAACTCTGTACCGGCGGGATGTAACCGGGGCGAGTTCAACCATGTTGATTTCGCAATCTCGGAGGCCCACCTGGAAGATACCTTAGAGAGCGGCATATAGGCCCTCAACGGACATGGTGTAACTCGACTGAGAGATTTTCTGTCTAGCAAACTTATGCAACGCAGAGAGTAGTTTGCGGTGCCGCGGTGCTTACCAGTCAACTCTAAACAGCTCATGACGAAAGTAATTGAGAGATTTGTCGAAGGTGGTCTGAGATGTACACGTGCTAGGAGAGACATCAGACGAACTAGTGTAGGGAAAGGTCTGGGCCAACATTTTTTGCATGACACGAACCACATCCATTTTCTCACAGTCACCAGTACCAAGACACCGGATCCAACGGCGCGGGAATGTGGGAACTCACAGCCCCGGCCCGTGTAAGCTTTGGGTGCCCAGCTTGGCCAAGGTCAAGCCTCGGCGCCTGCCAAAGACCATCGATCGGGCGGGATTGGCTCGAACCAAAGGGGCGGGAGGAGAGGGAGGGAAGGGAAGCAATGAGCTTAAAGCAAAAAAGAGGCTCAAGGCGCCTCGAACGTGTTCAATGATGATCAATGTCAGTCTATACTAGTTTAGTAGTGGCAAAGATCGATTGTTTATGGTGCTTCTGGCGATGTTCCAGAGCGAAACGTCCCGACAAAGACTTTGTGTGTTGTTTTTACCCCTGAGTGAAGGCTTGCAGCCGAAGCTAGAGTTTGAAGTTGTTTAATGAGGCAACGAAAAAGCATTGTGCAATGTTTGATTGGCTATACCCCGCACCAGACTACCACTTGAGTTCTCGCCCAGGAGCTGGGCTTTGCCATCCATGACGCCTTTTTATCCCACTTGACGGGATGATCGAAGCATAATAAACAATGTCCGTTCGGCTGCAACTTCATTAATTAGACGAGAAGAGAGTGTCAGAGAAAGAAATGACAGGTGGGGTACTCCGACCTAGGCGAACACAACCAAATAGGGTTTATCGTACTCAGTACACTATGGATAGCTCCTCTTTCGCTTTCTTCTGTTCTGTCCCCCTCGGACACCGATACGATAGCAAATTGAATGGGCCTGTAAAGAAGATAGTTAGAGAGTACCACGGTAAGGAAGACTCTCAGACTTGTCCATTGCAAAGAAAAGGTGAAATGTTGACAAAGAGATTGAGACACCGAGGAAGTCGAAGAGTCGAGAACTGGTCATCATCCCTGAGCAGAGTCGGTTCTGGACCGCTGCCTGGACCACACGCTCGGCCCCACATGGGGTCCCTTCCATTTACCGGCAGCAGCTAAATCCACTGATGTGACATAATCTGGTAGGGCTACGTCCCAGAGGAATCCTTGGAGATCCTGGTGTGGTGGTGTGAGACATGTCGACAGGGGCGAGTTTGTTGCTGCCCGGTCGAATTTAAACCACTCATCTGGGGTCGTTTCCAATGTCAGCGTATCCACCAATACAATGGGCACCGTTGTGTGATCCAACTTCCGCGCTTCCGCGGCTTCTGCAGAAGAAGGGGGGAGGAAACTTGGGAAACTGTTGGAACTTGGAAAGACTTTTTGACAATGTTGTCGGTGTGGGGGACGCTTCAGCACACTAGATCCTAATCCCTTCCAACTTCTAGGCTCCCCCCCGAATCCCCTGGTCCTATCAGGATGCAAAGGAGATTCGATCATTCGTAAGTGCTCTCTCCAAAGGGCCGGGAGTGTGAGACACCACGTCTTCTAGTTTAATATCTCTGATGTGGAGGCTTGCATACGGGAGATCATCACTCGTCTCAAGTTGAATACCGCCAGCGGCAAAATATCCCGACATCAGCAGGACCGTGGCAAACAACTCTAACTAAGTAAACAAGATGCAGAATATATAATATCCCAACTCTCGCGTTCCCTTCCTGTTGTTTCTCTTTCCCTCTTCACCCAAAATCGACCTTTTGCGTCTGTCACTCTTTTACACCCCAGCGGTACTCATCGACGCCTTGGCAGGTTCCATCCTCCGTTCACTCCTTCAAATCAACATCCAAGAATCCCGGTGATTTCCAAAACCCCTTTCAACCAAACCATCAAAATGCGTTTCTCAGCTGTCGCCGTTGCCGCTCTCGCCACCCAGGCCGCCGCCTGGAGAGGCCAAGGCCCCCCGTCCGGCTCCTACTGGGGCTGGGGTAACACCGGCGTCGAGGCCAGCAAGGCCGCCGACGACTGCTCCGGCGCCGAGGTGACCTCCACCTCCACCATCACTCTCCCCGCCGCGACCGCCCCTCCCGCCGCCACCTCCGCTGCCCCGGTCGTGACCCCCTCCGCCGCCGCCCCCGTCGAGGAGGCCGTCAGCACCACCTCCTCCGCTGCCCCGGCCGCCACCACCGCTGCCTCCAGCGGCACCTCCGGCCTCACCTCGGACCAGCAGGCCGCCCTCGATGCCCACAACGCCGCTCGCTCCGACGTCGGCGTCCCGGCCCTCGAGTGGGATGCCACCCTCGCCGCCAACGCCCAGGAGTGGGCCACCCACCTCCTCTCCGTCGGCTCCCTGACCCACTCCCAGGTCTCTGACCAGGGCGAGAACCTGTACATGCAGTCCAACACCGACAGCCCCTACATCAACGCCGCCAACGCCTGGATCGCCGAGAAGTCTTCCTACAACGGCGAGACCATCTCCGAGTCCAACTACATGGGCTTCGGTCACTACACTCAGATCGTCTGGAAGAGCACCACCAAGGTCGGTCTGGCTGTTGCCACCAACTCCCAGGGCACCTACGTCGTCGCCCGCTACTCGCCCCCTGGCAACTAGTAAGTTTGAGTCTTGAATGGAAATAAAAGCATATGAACAGGCGACTAACAAGAGAAACAGCATCGGCGAGAAGCCCTACTAAATGTCGACAAGGACGCCGCCATTGGACGGATTTTGAAAAATGGCAAACGGGATCACGCAGCGACAACAAGGCAGGGCACCTGTTCCGGTAGCTACGTTGGCTGGGCCGAACACAACCAAAAACTCTTTTCTTTCCATTCTTGGACATTTTTTGTGTACTTGGGGTTGAGATATTTTCCCACGACTTGATGTCGGATCCATTCCAGGTCTAGGCCGATCGAGAAACGAGGAAAAGGGGGTAGATCCCGGGTCTCTTTTACAAAACCAACCGCCCTTTGGCGAATTTCTTGCATGACTATAACGAGACATAGCGTAAATGCCTCACGATGCAGCTTCAATTTCCCGCAGTGATGTGATGTGATTCCCCAATGGCACTTGGTTGTGTACGTTTTGGAGTGGTGTTGTATCATGAAGTGAGACTCGGGAACTTCTCATTATGGCCTTTGCCGAGCAGCTGAGCGTTTTTGAGACTGGATACTAGTCGACATTTGGAACGAGTCGGCTTGGCATACAAAAGCCTTGTGCGAATGCCGTGTTTCGTCGCCATACGTTTACATAGCCGTCCGTTAAAGTTCTCCGGGAAGTGGAGGAACGGCAAGTGGACGGGTTACACCCACGGTCCCCCGCTCTCTGGAATAGTAACGACAAATTCTATGGGCGGAGTGTCTACTTTACCTACCCGCTAAGATTGAATCGTGGAGAAAGCAGAATCCGGGGTAACTTAAGAGAGCTTGTTGTCCTTTACTTAAGGGCTAGGGATACCTCTATTAACACTCGGTGATTTCCATTCGGGTTCTCCAGCAGAGTTTCGATGCACGAGCTGTTCCTTCTCATTTGACTTCCCTCGCGAATTACACAAATCGGGCGATAGTCTAAATCTACCTTAATCGATCATTATACGCTATAATTAAGATAAAATGGCATCTTCTGCTAACATTACTTTCGACGGTAAATCATCTCACGAGGTTTCCATCGTTCATGATGTGATACTAAAGAAGTATCCTAGACTACCTCGGGTTGAATGCATGCCTCTACGAGTGGGCAGACAGCTACGACACAAAAGACTGGAACCGCCTTCGCAAGTGCATCGCCCCTACCCTCCGCGTAAGCTCACGATCCTCCCTCCAACGACACGCAATCTAACACAACACTCACATTGAAGATCGATTACCCCTTCCTCAACAAGATCTGGGAAGCCATGCCCGCAGAAGACTACGTAGCCATGATGAGTAGCAAACCCATGCTTGGCAACCCCCTGCTCAAGACGCAACATCTCGTTGGCGCCAGCCGCTGGGAAAAGATCTCAGAGACCGAGGTTGTGGGCTATCACCAGCTCCGTGTGCCGCATCAAAAGTACACTGACGAGACTTTTAAGCAAGTCGCCGTCAAAGGTCATGGGCATAGCAGCAATAAGCATTGGTACAAAAAGGTTGACGGCGTGTGGAAGTTTGCGGGGTTGAGTCCCAAGATGCTCCTGACCGAGTATGATTTTGCGGCTATAGCTGCCGAAGGTCGTGACTCGCTTTTAGCTGGGATAGTGAAGGATGTATAATACATGATGGCGGCGCCAAGTCTTTAGAGTACTTAGATGATTAGTTAGTTAGAACTATACCGAATTTAGAAGGTTTCATCATGCCTGCCTTTGCATCTGCAGCTTGAGATTAGACCTGATGGTCAATGAACCATTTGAGGAAGCATAGGACTTCGCCTCCGTCGATGCTGCTGAAATCCAAGTTGATACTGGCCTAATATTGCTCTGCCTTTTCATCGAGTCCAAGGCGACTATCCTCCCTCAGTGTTATTCAATGACTGCTCATATGCGAGCCATACCGGAGCATCCCCTCTCAGATTCACGCGCATAGAGTGCGGGCCTTTGCACCTTACGTTGGTTCCGAGATGCTCTCCTCTTAGCAGATTTGACGCAGCGTTAATGCTAATTCAACTACTAGTACCAGTCCGTGTACGTAGGAAGCCGCGTAAGACATCGAGATGTTGTAGGCATGCGGTTGCGGCTATTTCCGTGTCGATCAAGGTGATCTTATCCATGATCTGCGCCGGGCGAAATACAGAAAGCACTACTTGCTAAAGCAGCGATGCCACCTTCTAGAAACATCCGCTAGCAAACTCATTGAACGAGCTCAGACCATTGAGCGACGAAGACTGCCTGCAGGTAGGTGGTTGATCTGCGAGCAGAAAAGACCTACTCTTGAACTCCACGTTTCCACTCACGAGGTTAGTCGCGCCACCGCTGTTCACCTAACCGACCTTGCACTACATTATGCCGATCCTGGCATCCGTTTGCAGCACTTAACAGACAGGAAGCGCTTCAAATCGACAACGATGAGGTCGGCTGCCGCCAGCACGGCCCTGCAAACCTTACTTAAATGCCGTATCGCCGTTGAATGACTCGAGGAAGCCTGCCGCCTGGCGATATGCCCAGGCACCGCCGTTTCCGGTGAGAAGAGATGGCTTCAACGTGGTAATACACGTGTGAGTCGCCTGTCACCGTTATTGTGCTACGTGACTAGTGCCAGTTGGTCTCAGTCGCCCAACCACACATCATGCATCTCGTCGAGTCTACAGAGCGAAGTCGTATCCGAGACAGCGAACAACATTTTAAAAGGCCATTGAGCAAAGTTTCATCAAAATTAATCACTAATTACTAGAGGATATAAACAGCAAGATGTACTCAACATTAGCCAGCCCAAAGAAAAAAACAAAAGAAGTCAAAAACATACACATCCCAGCTCCTAGCTAGAAACCGCATTATCTGTAAGCTACTACTGAGCTGGCTTCCTCCCAATGGTGACTGTGTACTTGACAAAAATTCCTTCCTCCGCCGATGACGTCTCAAGGCACTCCTTTGTCAATTTCGAAACATCTTGGTCAGAGTATAAGTCCCGCTTTGTCAAAATCTTTCTGAGAAGATCTGGGAATGCCTTGAGAAGAGTTCGTTGCGCATAACAACCGACTGCTGCGCTGGGAATATTCTTCTCAGACGGCACCATTGAGAACTCAAACGATCGCGTAAGAAGCACTTCGAGCCCGGCGGCTCTCATGTGATCCCCGACATGATCACCAACTAGAATATCCAGTCCCATAGCCTGCGACTCCTCTAGAACTGCTTGGTGCCAGGACCAATTTCCGCTGAGCTTTGTCTGTGTACCTTGGCGATAGTACTCCCAGGAGCAATCCTGATGCTCGACGATGGCACCGGGCTTCAAGAGGTGGTGGACGCGTGAAAAGTACTCTTTCCAGTCGTCGATCGCGAGGAACAGCATACGTCCGAACACGTAGTCCAAGCTTTGCTCCTGGAGTCCCTGCTCTGACAGATCTTCCATGATGTTGCCTTTCAAAAAGGTGACATTGGTCGGAGCTGAGGCTTTGACATGGTCGGGGACGGCAGATAGATCAATCCCGTACGCCCGAGAAGAAGGACATTGTCTTGCTAGCTGGGTTGTGGCTACCCCAGTTCCACAGCCGATGTCGAGGGTTTTCGACTTGCTCGGGAGAAGTCTCACGTCGAAGAGAAAAGGCTTTCCACCCAGCATGGACTGGATGGCAAGCGCTTGTTCATCAAGGCGAGCTTGCTCGGGAGTACTAGCATAGTAAGCTCATGTAAATCGAGACGCCTCTGTGGGGTACCAGTAGTACTTACTCATTGGGTAAAACGTATGGACAAGAAGTGTCATGATACGTGCGTTCGGCGTACTGCGATGATGTTGCCATGATGGATTTTTTTGAAACTTTTGCAAGTTTTCAAGAAAAGAATGTCTGATTGAATTGTTGTTGTGTTCCGGTTAAATACTAGGTATGTTTAAACAGAAAGCAAATTACCTGATAGATACTCATACCCATTTGCAACTTATATAGATATCAGACTCCAGACTCCAGACTTTCTATCGACGGGGCCATTGAGGGGTAATTTTTGCTATCATTGCCATGTTAGTCAAAACCTTGTCCCAAAGTAGCGTTGTGCTATTTCGAAATGTTGAGGAATTACGCGGCAATCGAGGTAGATTATCCTCACTATCTGTCATGCGAGACCTACTCTGAATAGCCTCACTTTAAGTTTGATGGATTCCGCCATTATTGTAGGCCGTGTAGTTGAGGGGTAAGTCCTTTTTCACGGATGGCTCGAACCTTATCCTGAATGCAGCGTTTTTTCAATACGAATCTGTTGAGTCATGAAGATAATCAATCTCACGATCTATTAACGATGAGAAGCCTTTGCAGCACGTGTGTGAATAGCTTCATTTTAAGTTTGAGACATGCCAGGGGGCCCGAGCAGTATAAAGATGCATTCGCTTGAATTTTGGAATATCTATTCCGCTGGATCGCCAGCGTTCGCTTGTGAGGGAGAGGGATAAGCACGTAAGGTAGCGTCTTTTAGACTTCTCACGATACTGGGCAGAAAAATCAGATTTTAGACCGAAAATCAGTCCAGGTGCATCCGACGACAAGAAACTAAGAGCAACACAGTTCGCACCGCCAATTCTCCAAGGAATGTGGGCAAACTCATGATTGCGGCATCTTGTATGACTGGTGGAGTTCTCCCCGTGCACTTGACTTGAATAGCGGCGGCTGCGGTTGATCAATTTGTGAACAACATATCGTATAGAGACAAGATAAGCAATGATCCTCAATATTCCCGTAAGATATCCGAGTGCATGAATCGTGTCAAGGGAAGCCCTCTTGGGTCTTCGAGGGTTTCGAAGCTTGCAGCTGGCTGGGTTTCCAGAGTGAATGGCGCCAAGCCCTTAAGACCTTGAGGACAGGAAGAAAGAGGTTGAGGAGCGAGAACCGCAGTCTACGTGCTATGATTTCTTCGCATCCGAGTATCCATAAGTTGGGCTACTTAAAACTAGACTGACATGCTTCACTCTTGCGTTCTCCGTCACTCCTCGATACATCATCTTTCACCCAGCTGAGCACCGTCCACTCATCTCCAAGCTATCTTTTGTCTAAGTCCTAGCCTGGGCTTATCCTACAATCATGTTGATGGGACATCTACATCTTGTGTCCGGTCAATGGAAACATCTCCGGCAGTTGCTCGACTCGCAGTCCCGTGTCGTTGTAGACGGCCAGACTTTATCACTTTCCGACGTGATGGCCGTTAGCCATTATCACGCCTCGGTCTCTTTAACCTCGGATACCAACATCATCAACAAGGTCCACAAAAGCACCGCCCTGTTGCGTTTGAAGCTTCGCCAAGGAGCCACAATCTACGGCATCACAACAGGATTCGGCGGAAGTGCCGACGTGCGCACCTCTGACCATGAAGAACTGCAGAGAGGACTACTGCAGCTCCTCCAAGTCGGTATTCTTCTACCTTCCGACAAAGGGTCAGATCTCGGCGAAAGTCATCTTGGAATGCAAGCCTGGAGAGGGCATGCCCTTCCTACCTCCGTTGTCAGAGGAATGCTCCTCGTCCGGGTCAACTCTCTGCTGCGTGGTCATTCTGGTGTCCGTCTGGAAGTTCTGGAAGCTATGTTGACCCTGCTGGACGATCATGTCATTCCGATAGTCCCGCTGCGTGGCAGCATCTCAGCTTCTGGAGACTTGATACCTCTGTCTTACATCGCTGGCGTTTTGGAGGGCAACTCGGATGTTTACGTTGCTGTCGGCGCGCAAAGACCAAAGTTCATGACTGCGAAAGAAGCCTTGAAGATGATCGGCCTCGAGCCGGTGCGGTTCGAAGCCAAGGAAGCCCTGGGTATCACAAACGGTACTGCTACGAGCGCCGCAGCGGCATGTGTCGTGATGAACCAGGCTCATCAACTCGCCACAATGTCGCAGTTTCTTACCGCCATGGCAACCGAGGCGCTTCGAGGCCGGCAGTCGAACTACCACCCGTTCATATCCCAGTGCCGACCGCATCTGGGACAGGTGGAAGCTGCGTCCAACATACTACGTTTTCTCTCTGGATCCAAGTTGACCAGAAAGGGAGACGACCATGCCGAAGGCCTCGTACAAGACCGATATCCTCTTCGAACCGCGCCCCAGTGGATCGGTCCCTTGCTTGAGGACTTGATGCTAGCTCAACAGCAAGTACAAGTTGAGATCAACAGCACCACGGATAACCCCCTCTTTGACGTTGAAACCGGAACCGTACATCAAGGAGGCAACTTCCAAGCACTGGCTGTCACTTCCGCCATGGAAAAGGTCTCGTCCTCCATGCAGCTGTTGGGTAAGCTCATGTTCGCCCAATGCACAGAGCTTCTCAACGCCAAGCTCAACGATTGCCTGCCGCCTAACCTCGCCGCCGACAACCCGAGCAAGTCTTTCACTACCAAGGGGTTGGACATCACCATGGCAGCGTATATGTCGGAGCTGGCCCACCTATCCCACCCTGTGTCCGCGCATATCCAGAGCGCCGAGATGAACAACCAGTCGGTCAACTCGCTCGCGTTGATCGCTGCCAGGAACGCGTTGGAGATGGCCGAGATCTTGTGCCTCATGGTGGCAACGTACATATACGCCCTCTGTCAGGCTCTCGACCTGCAATGTCTCCATCTCGAATTTTGCAACGTAGCGAGGCCCGCGATGCTGGAAGTTGCTCAGAACTGTATCGGGTTTCCCAGAGCCGCCGATGGAGCGGACGACATTGCCCAGCGCTGTGGCGAGATCTTGCTCCAGAAGTGGAACGGCCTGGTCAACCTCGACGTGGAAGACCGAGGCCGAGCTGCTGCACGAGAAGCTAAGGGTGGACAACTCGAGGTTTTGGCCCCGTACTTCGAGGGTATGCGGCCTGAGGAGTTGATCGTTGCCATCAAGGCCATGGACGCTTATACCAAGCAGTCCGCCGAAAGAATCAGCCATGAGTATTGCAAGACACGCTTACGGTTTCTGGAAAACCCGAGCACAGGCGCATATCTCGGGGTTGCTTCAAAGGCAATCTACAAATATGTAAGGAAAACTCTGGGTGTCCCGATCCATCGCGGTTTACAAGACTATCCAACAACGTCGGGGACCAACGGAAGCCCCGGTGAACCGGAGAAGAAGACCATCGGCACCTTGACCAGCGAGATCTACGTTGCGTTGCGCAATGGGTCAATGCACGACTTGTTGATGTCGACAGTTTCTAGTTTAGACTCTAAGTAGGGCCCTGAGCAGTGTGAAAGATTATCCTGTTACCTGCAATGGTTCTTCGCTAAAGAGCCACTCTAATCTCTTTTACGCCATTGAACAAATGCTTTATGTACCTAATGCGCTACATGTGTGCAGGAGAACTTTTTGATATTACAGATTCTTATGTGGGCAACCGGCACGCCGGCCATGCCATGATTTTATATAGTACATCGTAGAGTGGAAAACAGCTATAAGACAAGCCAAGAAGGCCCCTTTCCAGGTGGGTGGTTTCGTATCATCTTACACTTTGCACGTGCGCCGCGCCATCATACATCATTGAGTTTCTTTCTTCCCAACAGAATTTTCCCCCTCCCAAACAGAGTCATTGAAGTTGAATTTAGGCGTTCACGAAGCCCTTGACGTTGCTCAACCACCGGACATACTCGCGCTGCTCCTTGACGTCAATGTAGTCGGGCGCGAAGACGGCCAGGGCCTGGGTGATGCCGCGCTCCTCGAGGTAGCGCTCCATCAGGATCTGCAGGTCCTCGTCGAGGCTGCCGAAGGGGGGGCCGGGGTAGATGTCGCTGCGGGCGTGGGCGACCTCGGCGTTGGAGGCGTGAGCGAGCTTGCCGTCCTCGTAGTAGAACATGTTGTCGACGACGATGGCGCCATCCTGAGCGGTGGCGTCGATGTTGAGGGCGCCGGGGGTCTTACCGGGCTTCTCGACGACGATGCTCAGGCGGCAAGGGGGAGCGGCCTCGTCGAGGTCGCCCTCCTCCTCCTCGAGCTGCTCTTCGGCGTTGGCGGAGCGGGCGCCGCCGGATGACTGGACGCCAGACTGCTTGTTGGGGTTCTGGACGTCGGACTCGAATTCCTCGTCCTCGAGGGCGCGGTCCTGGTCGTACATCTCGGGATCGTAGTTGGCGAGGTCAGCGATGGAGAAAGTGATTGTGATCCTAAGGTTTTACTGTTAGTTTACCGTTTCATAGTGTCTGCTAGACGATGCTCGGAATGCAAACTTACTTCTCCTCGCCAAACTTGCGGATGAGCTTGACCTCCTCCTTGCCAGGGGTGTCTTGGAGCTCAAAGGGGCTGTTGTCGATGAAGTCCTTAACGCTCGCGGGCAGCTGCTCGTTCTGCTTCACCTCCTCCTCGAACTGAAGCTCGCTCTCGAGCTTGGCGACGAGCTCAGCATCGGTCTCGCCGGCGGCAGATTTCCTGAAGGCAGAGCTGGAGAAGGCTGATGCGCGCTGGGTCTGAACGGCAGCGCTCCATGAGGCGGCCTTGATGAAGGCACTAGGGCGCGCGGTCTGTCTGAGAGAAAGGCGGGAGAGAGCTCTGGGCGCGGAGCGCGCGACGGATCTGATGGAAAGCATGATGGGCGGTGGACTGAGGCGTTGTGTTGAGAGGTCGTGATGGTCAAGGCAAGGGGAAGTGCAAAAGCTTGTTGGAGGAGGGTAGAGGTGGATTGGCTGGATCTGCCAGGTCGCAAAAAAGCTTTGGAGAGCTCCCAAAATTTTTGACATCAGATCACAATTCGGCGAAACCTTTTGCCGGGTGACACCGCACCAGCCGGGCGCTAGGTGGAGCGGAACCGTCAGGGACTGGATGGCAGGGACCATTCTGCAAACACTTTGTCAAGTTCAGGCACCAGACCA